AATGCAAAACCAGCAACAACCAACACACACCAAAAAAATACCACCCCCAACAAACAAAAACAACCCAACTATAAACAAAACCCAGACGTATTCATTGCCTTTAAGCCCAAAAAACTAGGTAATAGCTCAAGGCATACTTGAACAAGAAAATAAACACAGCCCCTGTGGAAAAGGTGACTGCCCAAACTCCAGGCAACATCTGCCAAGCATTCCTCCAGAAAATCAGCCCCATATTATGGAAGTCTTCAGAGGATGGATGAGCAACTATTTAAATACAAATAAAACTTTTGAGAAGTCTAGCTGCCAAGAAAGGTCTGCTCCAGGCTTGGTAGGCAATGAATAAGTAGAGACAAATCCTGCAAAGTCGGTGGGGTCTTTTACAGCCCTCACTGATGGGCATTTTTGAGTATCTGAATGACAAAATACCTGCCTCACCTCAGATCCACATCTACCCCTTTGAAACTCTTACAAAAGCCAAGAGGGTAAGCTCCTTCCTTGCTTGCATTCTGTATCAGAGCCATTTCCCCTCTGGATCCCCCTCCACGCCTGGAAGAGCTTGCAAATGTATGGTAACTAAGGAGATAAGCTGCAATTCAGGACTGGGGGGAGATCCTCCAGCTACCTTGTTTTCTACAAACAAGAACTTAGAAACTTTTTGCTTCTGAAAGGACATGTGGAAAGCAGGGAGAAGAAGCAACATTACCCCCTTGTGGTAGCAGAGCAAGATGGAAATAGGCTCAGGGAAATTCAAAGGGCTACAGACCAGGGGGTTCCTTTCATACCTGCTAGGCCACCAAGACTGAAGAGAGACAGGATGATGAGCTGGAGGCTCTGCACTGCCCAGGCATGGGAGAACGGTACCACCACCTCTGCCCTGCTGGGCAGCTCCTGCAGGTCAGTTGTTTGCACAGCACTGTGGATTCTGTGATTTTATAGGCTCACAAACAAAACAAAGGAGTTTATGCAAGACTCTCTAGACAATACAAACTCCCTCACCTCACATACACTCCTTCCTACCTGGGTGCAGGGACAGAACTGTCACCCAGAACACCTGAGAAGACTTCTCAAGTCTTCAGATAACTTCAATAGTTATCTGAATAGTTCAATCTTATCTGCCAAACTAAATAGGAAAGGCAAAGTGACAACATTAAGCATTCACAAGACACAGGCCCAGAAGTTACTCATACCACAGCATACAGAACTTGACCTCTGGAATGAGTGCAATGGAGTGGTGAGAGAAGATTTAACATAATTGCCAGACAAACCTTCTGAATGGAAGAATAAGGATAATAAATGTTTCCTCATGAAACACGTTCCATGCAAACCTGCCTGGCAATATGACAGGGCACATCTTTCATTTGCAGTAACTCATTTAAATCTCTAGTCAAAATAGACAGGTAAACAATATCTGAATTGCCCCCTTGGTATATTATAAGCAGCTAAACCTTGAATGCCTAGAAAAGAAGTTTCCCTTTGTGTATTTTTCTTTTCCTCCTTTCTATGGATTTTTTCACAGGATAAGGTTTGAAATATGTCAACAAGGATACACTTGCTCCTTGCATCCATTCTAGAAAGACTGTGGCCTGGGACATCATGCCAGAACTCAGACTACATTTAAAAGCAGAGAGTGTCTTATTTTTTTTGTGGAGTAACACACTAGCTCTGTAGATATCATTTGTGCCATGTCAAAATAGCTGAAGAGGTGGCATTTGAAGATTTAGATCACTTTTATTAATCAGCACTGTACCTGTAACTAACTGATGAGCTGAAATATATATTTCAGTGGAGGCCACTGCTAGGATTCTATATATTGTCTCTTAATAAGCTGGCACTAGCTGCTCTCAAACAAGCAGCTGACTAGAAGAATCCTCTGTTCAACTTTTCATTATCAGCCTGAATTGGCCCACACAGCAACAAGGGCTTCAAGCACTTACAGGATCTCTTCCCTCACTAAGATCAGAGCATTAACACAATGCTTCCTCAAACCATAATTAACAGAAGTTATAGAAAAATCAAGCTGGCTATCATCTGTTGCTCAGTTATCTTTCCTTCATCCAGACCACCAATTTTACACAGCACATTTCACACAGCAACTTCAGGGATTTCTGAGGCTCTTTCCACTTGGATGTTAAAAGTGAGGCAGTGCTAGATCCACAGGGTGGGGTAAAAAAAAAAAAACACCTTCATTTGAGTTAATGAGTTCAGGCTAGAGAACCTTAGAAAAGCTGAAGCACCAGCTCACCAACTTCTGCTTAAATAAATCTCCCCCAATTTCATAGCTCAGTGACACAGCTTCAAGCAGCACACAGCTCAACACTCAGGCTGCTTTTGGGCTGAGCTGAATGTGACAGGACTGCTGTACTGCCAAGGCTCCCAATGACACGTTCCTCCTAATAGATGTGCCAGAGCTCTTAGGCAGGAATAGCTTCATTACATGCTTATTAATGCCTTTGTGGTTAGTCTGAGATAATTAGCCCAGCACCATCAGAAAGAGCAGAATTCTCTTCCTTCCCAGCTGACACAGCTGCATCTACAGAATTCAAAGAACAGCCTTCATTAAACTACCTATTAATTGACTCTCTATGGCAATGTCTACCCAGCAAGAGACTTCTCAGCCAAGCAAGACAGGCCAAGGAATGGATCCTGCCCATGGACAAGGAATGAGAATACACACACAGTTTCCAAATCAAATTTTTATCTCAAGTTTCTCAGCTGGCCTTTGAACACAGAGCTCAATTGCCCAATGAGGACATCTATTGGAGAGACAAAGAAGAACAGGAGGACAGGTTACAAGCAAATATGTGGATGTGGAATGCTAAGAACTAGCCTGAAGTCCAAAAGCACAAAACTACATTGACTGGAAGTGTGTATGCAGTCACCACTTGTACCCTGATGCTTGAAGGCTCACCCTGCCTCCTCTCTTCCCCTGGCACTTCCAGCATTACACAGCCTACATCTCATGACCCTGAGCCACCTTCTGAAGCTGCAAAGGTTCATAAACATTTTGGACTCTGCTGTGCTGGAGTGGTTCTAGCACTTCCCATTTGTGGAGCAGACCCTAGGCCTGGAAGACAAGACAGATGGATGTGAGGAGGTTCATTCCATGGAAAAATTAGGTGAGTGGGTACTTGCTGATTTGTTATTGCTCTAGAAGGAAAAATGTAACACCTCATTTGAGAAGGGCAGAAAATTACACCTGCAGGATATAACTATCCCTCATGCAGGGTTCCTGTTAAGGGGAAAGCTCCCAAGTTCACCAAGTAGTGAACTACTCTACAGTCACCTTAACTTCAGTCAGGAGGGAAGCAGAAACCCCTGCTATATCTGTTCTTGCAAAAGGCCCAATAACAGCCCAGCTCCTGCATGCCAGAGTGGACTGAGGTACATGTCTCAGAGTTTTTAAATTATACAGCTCTCACAGTAAGGATCACACCTACAGATCCCACTGTACCATTGTCCAAATATGTGCCCATCACCTGATCAATAAAAAGGTTATTTGCCCCCATTACTTCTAATGCTACAGTGACTCAGCCCAGAGCACAGTGGAGGTGATCTGAGCATGTACAGCTATTTCAAAGGAAATATAATGCAAGACTTACTCAAGTGCCATTTTAAAGCTAAATTTGTGATCTCCTCCTCATTTCTCTGCCCTTTAATAAGGGGCTAGAGGATATATGATTTAAAGGCAGGTAAGTTCAGGCCCAAGAAAGAAGTAGTTACCATGTAATCAGCTTGAGATTCTCATTATGGCAGGCTTTAAAAAAAAAAAGCAACAGATTTTGAAGCAGATGAATAATTTTGTGACCAGCACCACTTATTTGTTATTCTACTACAGCAAGAATCAAGGCAGACACTGTTTCAGCCTGAGTTCAATCAGCTTATCTGCAGGAAGGAGGAAAGAATTCCCTTTCCTCAGGCA